GGAAGGGGGGGGAGGGAGAGGAGGGGAGAGGAGGACACTTGGAAGGCTCACAGGATGGGAGGGGAGAGGAGGACGCTTGTAAGGCTCCCGGGAGGCAGGTGCACAGCCTCCATGTTTTCCACACTCAGCAGGGTTAGAAATTCCTGTAGAAGTGGAATGCACGAGACCGGAACACCCCAAGCAAAGAAAGGGGAGGAGGGGTCAAAAAAGCATTCACTCATTAACAAGGAGAGTGGGCATGAAGCCGCTTCCAGGACTGCATAAGAAGTTGCTGACAGGTGTTTCAGAAAGTAAGGGTAGCAGGAGATAGCTTGCTCAGCTCTGAACAGGCTGCCATCCCACAGGCCATGAAGTCCCTGAGATACGCATCTCAGTGAACAACAGTCACCCCATCTCTGCCAGAGAAAATCCTACAAGCCAACACATAACCTCACAAAACCTGGGCTTAGCCATTGAGAACAGCGAGTCTGACTCGGTCCATCCTTCCAGATGATTAAAGACCCCAGGGGCTCATCAGACAACCTCGAGGAACTGTCTCTGCCCAGCCCCTTTCCAAGTTCTGGACAATTTTTCTTAATATGCTACAAGCAGCATGCTCCAACAGAGAAGTAATTAACTGGCGCTGGGTCCTCTGATTAAATTTTGAAATTAGAAATACACACTTGGCCAGGTACGGTGGCTTATTCCTGTGATCTCAGTACTTTGGGATGCTGAGGCAGGTGGACTGCTTAGGCCCAAGAGTTTGAGCCTAGCCTAGGAAACATTGCAAAACCCCGTAACTACAAAAAATACAAAAATAAGCCAGGCATGAGGACACATGCCTGTGGTCCTGGCTACTCAGAAGGCTGAGGCAGGAGGATCACTTGAGCCTGGGAGATTGAGGCTACAATGAGCCATGCTCACACCACTGTACTCCAGCCTGGGCAAGAAAAGTGAGACCCTATCTCAAAAAAAAAAAAAAAAAAAAAAAAAAAGAGAGAGAGAAATATATACCTGACTAAACAAAAATAAGAGGCCTAGTGGGACCACTTGGAAACATACCTGCAAATTCTGGCTGGGCATTCCCTCCCCTTGATTCACGGTGGGCGTGGCACAGCTCTGAAGGATGGGACCCCATGCACCTTCCGAAGCTAGACCTTAAAGTACAGCTTTTCCTTGCTGGACGGAACAATGGCCTTGGAGCTGGGACACCTGGGGCAGTGCAAAACTGTCCTGAGGCTGCCATGGGAGGGGAGTCTGGGACGTCATGAAGCCAGGGACACCCTAGGACAGTGTCACCATCCCAAGGCCACCATGGCAAGAGAGCCTGGACATCATGAAGCCTGGGACAGTGCCACCATCCCAAGGCCACCATGGCAGGAGGGTCTGGGACATGAAGCCTGGGATGCCCTGGGACAGTGCCACCATCCCAAGGCCACCACGGCAGGAGAGCCTGGGATACCCTGGGGCAGTACACCATCCCAAGGCCACCATGGCACAAGGGGGCCCTGGTGCCATTGAGAGGCTGCACAGCAGGTCCAAGCCCACGCCAGGAGTGAAAAGGCTTCCACGTCATTTCTGTTCCTCCAGCTAAGACCGCAGACGTCACGGAGCAGAAATGCATCACCCTCAATGTCCCTGTGTAACTTTTTGGCCACAGAATCTGGAAGCAGAGAAGATGGTTCTCAGCAGGTTTGTTGCTGCCTCGGATAGGGGCTCAGGCTCCTGCAAATAACCTCTGTCCTTTTTCCACACAAAACCTGGCTCACACCAAGCAGCATCTAAATCCTAGATCTGCTAAACACAAGTGCAGTTACAAAGCGGTGAAATGGGGACACCTGGAGAGGGCCAGGCTGTGCTCCAATGGAACCGGGGTCTCTCAGGAAGACCTGGGCATTCCAGGGTGCAGGCTTCCTGGGATCCAGGACATGGAACAAGAGCCATCTCCTGGTCCTGTCACACATGAATCAGCTAAGGACCGATTCCGTCAGAGGGCTGAGCACCGCCCCGAAACACATACCAAAATCAAACAAGCCCCAGTACGACCCAGAGGCTGGTGAAGACGACAGGACCAGATGAGGACAAGGGATCCTGGCAGGCCAGTCCGGGCCCGATCGAGAGGCGGCAGCACCGCCTGTGCCCCTGCAGATGCAGAGTCGAGCAGGTGCAGGCTGGGCTTGAGACCGACTCCGCTGCCCCTGCTTGCACTTCTGCTCTGCTTCTCAGGGCGGGGAGAGGAGGCAGAGGCAGCATTAGCACTCATCTTGCCCCCTGGCTGCTTTTTTTCTGCTCGTGAGTCGTGCTCACTTTATGTGGACTGCGTAGCTGTAATACCAGCTGCCTGATTGTTTCACTGCCTACATAAAGGGCTTTCAGAATTCACTTCGATCCTCAGGAAAGGGGCCATACCTAGCTTTCTCCCTTGAAAAGCTGCATCTTATGTGGGGAAAAGAAATCAATCAAGACAGAAATCAAATAAAGGCCATAAAATACATCAATTTAAACATTAAAATTTAATAGTCCACGTTAAATTGGAGATGAGTCAAGTCACATTTCCAGACCTCCAAAAGCACAGCAGTCGTTGCTGGGAGGGAGTGGTCTGCATCAAAGGCTGGTCTGTAAGGGCACAGGCCAAGACGAGGGCTCAGACGTCAAGTACAAGGAGAATGTCTCAGCAAAAGCTCCCCTGCCCTGCAGCTGTCCTCTTCCAGAAGACACGGTTATCTGTCAGTTTAGAACACGGCCTGGGGAGGCCCGAGGCAGGAGGCGGGAGGCGGGAGATGGGTAACAGGCCCGGGTGGGTCACCTAGCAACCAAGCTCCTCACCCACACAACCACACCACACTGAGCTGAGCAGGACACAGAAACACCACTAATTCTCCCCAAAAAGAACAGGAAAGGTGGCACACTGCCACGCCAGGCATCTTGCAGCTGAGATGACGGAGGGAAGCCAGGGAGGCATGTTTAATCTTGCTCACATCGTGGAGAGAGGGAATAATGCTGTTCAACTCTCCATCACAACTTCTCTCACTTGAGAGAGTTGCACAATTCTTTCTAGCAATGAGTGGCAGAAACAAAAGTCATAGATCCTTCCTAGAAATGTTTCTGAAGAACTGGACATAAATTATGTTCAGGAAATAGCATTTGAATGCCTCAAGTGCTTTTATTTTAATAATCCCAGAGTAAATAATTCTATAAAACCAAGAATCACGGTCTCACATGGCTCCAGGATCATAGCCCAGGTGACATGGGCTATCACATTCTGCAGCTCTGACACTTGGGTAAAGCGAGGCGAGGAAGATGACCCCGGGTGTAATTTATACGGACACAGGCAGGTGGGTGGGCCCGAAACCAAGAACACTGACGTCCTGCAAGGCCTTACCCAAATGCTGCTCCAAGGTACAACCAGGAAGATAATTCAAACCTGAGGAATGTGGCAGAATAAAGCTGTCAGGAGGTTTTAATCACCAACAACAGTAGTCACATGACCCAAAGACGATTAAACCCCCAGGCCCCCCAAGAATAAGTTTCGTCTATACTTAAATGCATTTAATCAGCACATTAGAGGGTTGGGGGGCGGGGAGCAGGTTATTCCTATGTTTTGCAGCAAATATGTCCAGCTGCTGTAAAAGGAAAAGGCAATTTGGTAACGAAGCTTCTTGGAGCTTTGCAGCAGGCCTCAAGGAGACGCAGGACAAGAAGTAGGCTGCATGATTCATAGACACTTTCTGCCCGTCTGTAGAAAATGTCTTCATTACTCTAAGGGTGTCTTTTATATTAAAAGCTTAATTTTGATGAAGTCTTATCTACTGTGTTTTTTTCCTTGATTATGGATCATGGTATCATGACTAAGAACTCTAACCCTAGGGTCAAGACAACTTCTCCCATTTTCTTCTACAAGATTTGTAGTTTGGCATTTTACATTCAGGGCTATGGTCCACCTTAATTTTAATTCAGGAATTTCTCCTTGTTTTCACTCTTTTGCATATGGCTGTCCCATAGTTCCAGCACAATTTGTTAAAAAGACTCAAATTCCACTGAATTGCTTTTGCATCTTTGGGTCTATTCTGGACTCTACTCTGTCAGCTGACCCGTGTGTCTATCCTGAGTGTAATTTATGACTTTAATGGATGTCTCTTCATGAAAAGGTAATTCTGTCTGGAAGAAAAAGCACACTAGGAACACTCTGATGAGATTCTTCCTCTTGTCAGGAGAGCAGAGGTGAAGCCTTAATGGCTCCCAGGCGAATGCCCAGGTAAAACCTTAACACACGGCGCAGAGAGCAATTCATTTCGAAATAGTTACCGAGGGCCACAACATGAGGCCAATTCAGCCATGAAAACGGCAATCATTTAACAGAATGAAATTCATAAGGAACTGCTGAGAAGCGCGTGATATGTTCTATACATCACCGTATCCTCAGATTCTGACGGTTGACTAGAAGAACAGAAATTTCTTCATGGTACAGTTCAAACAGGAGAAAACTGGGTAGGGGTGGTTTCCATACCACACAGGACATGCAGGAAATAGAAACTTCCTCTAAATGGGAGACCCCCGGAGCGATGTGATAAACCCGGTGAGAGGCATGGAGCTGTGAAAGCCAGAGTCTCGGCCTGGCCCCTCCACTCAGCCTGCGTCCACAGATGACGAGGCTCGAATGTCAGGCCAGGAGCAGCCAAGGCAGCTATCGGAGGACAAGAAAACGAGCACATGGTGCAAAGCAAGGATCTGAAATAGCACAGGGCCTGTGAATCAACTGGGATAAACTGACTCAAAATACAGGTTCTAAAAGAACCACAGCATCTGTTCCTCAGTTCCAGAAAGGCTAAATGACTAACGCCCACCCTGAGTATCTTCTCCCAGCGACGACCCGGTGACACAAGGCCCAGCTCCTCTGAACCCACGCCAAACCTCAGGGAGGAACTTTGCAGGTATAAATTATTTTTCTTTTTGATAGAGTCTCACTCCGTCAGCCAGGCTGGAGTGCACTGGCGTAATCTTGGCTCACTGCAACCTTCACCTCCTGGGTTCAAGCGATTCTCCTGCCTCAGCCTCCCAAGTAGCTGGCATTATAGGTGCCCACCACCACACCCAGCTATTTTTTATATTTTTAGTAGAGACAGGGTTTCACCATGTTGGCCAGGCTGGTCTTGAGCTCCTGATCTCAGGTGATCCGCCTCCCTCAGTCTCCCAAAGTGCTGGGATTACAGGCGTGAGCCACTGCTCCCTGTCATTACTGGTATAATTCCTAAGCTACTCCCTCACACCCACTCCCATTTTTTTTTAAACCAGTTTTATGGCTGTGTTTTTTCCAAGAGAACCAAACAGTTACCCATTTGAAGCACTGTTTGAAATGCCAATTTTCACAGAGGTTTCCAAATACCTAGCCTATTTGTGCCTTGTGAATAAAATCAAGCTGTTGGCTGAATACAACTTCCCTCTTCATCTCTCTGTGAATTAGACACAAGGATGAAGCCACCAGCTAGGAACATAAAGGCAGGAACCACCAAGGAGCCGAGACTCCAAATGAAAGCTCGAGGGATCAACACAAGGGTTAGGGTTAGGGCACCCCACACGGCCTCCTCTCCTTCCTTTTCAGAGCTTCCAGAGAATGAAGCACGGACCACCTCAGACATCCAACGGTGCAGGCGCTGGAGGAGGAGGGCGGCCTGAGGTCGACGGCGGCGGTGGCCTGAATGGGGCGGTCCTATGGTGGGCTCCACAGCAACTTGGCAACTAGGAAATCACATTCCACAAACAGCAGAAATTCTCCATGTGTGTTACATCTTCCATCACTGAAGAACTATTTGCGAGTCTAAAACCATATTCGAGTCTTATTTCACATTTCAAGCAAAGACAACACTGATAGCACATGAGGGTAAAACT